GCCCGAGGCCGGGCCGCTGGCCGCTCTCCCGGCCACGAGGTGCCACGGGGCTGCGCACCGGCGTGGTCCTGCCGGTTTCCGGGGCATTTTCTGTGGATGTGTTAGGTCATGAGATTGTCATCTGCGCCAAACCGCGCACCCCACGTCCCAGGGAAAGTTGGGGCGAGTCAGGCCGCTTCAGGACAGCCAGCACAGGCCGGGCTCCCACGGGGGCTGGGGGGCTGAGGCGGGCGGGGGAGCCCCAGGGCTGCCGAGGGCAGTGCCTCAGGAGGCCCACCCCCGAGGGCCGCCGGCCAGGGCAGGGGTCGCCAGGGGCTGGGGGGCTGAGGCGGCACAGCGGCTCCGGCCAGGGCCAGACCTGCAGGACAGGGCCCGGCCCACAAGGGGCTGCTTCTCGGGGGCGGCCCCCCCCCCAGCAGCTGTGAGGCGGAAAACTCGGGTAATGGGGAGTGAGTGAGTCAGGGCTGGCAGGGCGCGGCCTGAGCTCATGGCTGCCTCCCCCGCCCAGCGCCCCCAAGGATTGCGGCGGAGCGGAGAGGGGGAGCGCGGCCAGACAGACAGACTGGAAAAGCCATCACGGACAGCGAGGCAGTGCCCGGCTCCACTGACCGACGCAGAGGCCCGGCCCGGCGCCCCGCCCCGCCCCGCCCCGCCGCGCCCCGCCCCCACGCCGGCTCACCGTGCGGTACTCCATGAGCTCCATCTGCAGCCGGGTGATCTCCCCGCGCAGGGCGCTGATCTGCTGGCTGGCGCGGTCCTGGTTGGCCGTGACCTTGTTCTTGATGTTGCGGGCCCGGTTGGCATACTTCAGGGTGTTCAGGGTCTCCATGAAGTCCCGGTCGGAGGGGCTGACGCAGGCGATCATGACGGTCTGGCTGAAAGGGGAGGGGCGGTCGGCCGCAGGGCAGGCCCTGGCCAGCTGGAAGCACCGCGCTGAACTTCCATTCCCGCCTCTGATCCGCTTCGTCCCACCCTGACGCCCCTCGTGGACACTCAATGAAGGGGAAGCAGACTTTAGGGGCCCAGACCTGACCGGGAGGCCTCCGCAGGCCCAGCGTCCACTCACCCTCTGCTCTCGACACTGCAAGCGCTGTCCACAGAGTGCCCCGGCCCTGGCCCACGACGGCCGGGCACCAGGGCCACCCCTCACCACCTGGCAGCGCTGGGGAACCCCGTCTCTCCTGCTGAAGTCACGTGTGCCCTGACGCTCCCGCAAAGCCCAGGCCGCCGGCCGGAGCAAGGTGGCGCGTCCACCACCCGGCGCATGGCCCCGAGGCCCAGGCCACGCCCCCTGCTCCGGGCAGGCCCCCCGGCCTTCAGGCCTCCGCC